GTTGGTCAGGCTGGTCTCAAACTCCTGACGTCAGGTGATCCACCCACCTCGGCCTCCCAAAGTGCTGGGATTACAGGCATGAGCCACTGCACTGGACCATACTTATCTATTTTTAAGACAGTTAGAGGATTAAATGAGATAATCCTTTCAAAACATTGCAATTTGCACTCAAAAAATTTTTAAATCAATTCTTTTTTTTCCAGGACAGGGTCTAGTTCTATCACCCAAGCTGGAGCAGCCTCGACTTCTTGGGCTCAAGTGATCCTCCCACCTCAGCCTCCCAAGTACCTGAGACTACAGGCGCATGCCACCATGCCCTGTAATTATTTTATTTTTTTGTAGAGATGAGGGTCCCTCAGTTGCCCAGTCTGGTCTCAAACTCATGGCCTCAAGTGATCTGCCAGCCCCTGCCTCTCAGGGTGCCAGGATTATAGGAGTGAGCCATTGCATCCAGACTTGAGCAGTTTTTAAGCACTGAGGTCTTGAGAAGAATTCTCACCTTGGGTTGCTTTAAATCATTAACTGGCTGGTCAGAGAGTTAGTGGAAGACAGAACAAAAATTTTGAGGCAAGTTTACCACCATCTGCTGGCAAAAAAGAGTTTGATCATTAACTTTAAAGGGACCACTCTGTGCTGAGCAGATGAGTGGACATCTTCTGACAGGGACTCTGAGATGTTACACTGCCTGCATGTGTTCTCCATTCTGGGTTATGATCTCCATTTGCGACCGATTGCTTTACAGTCCAGGACAAGAGAAAGACTGATCAAGGAGCCAGGGTGAGGCAAGACTCCTTCCTCTTGTTGACATTGGCAATGCCTCCCATCCCAGGAATGGCCGTGCTTGTAAGTAGAGCCAACTTAGAGCTAGGCCTGGGTCCTGGGAGGTCTCCTGCCTTTCTGCTTTGCCCAGAAGATGGATCCTGCTAGCCCCAACCATCTCCTAAAAATGTACTGAAAGGATTCCTCAGTCCTCATTGCAGATTATACCTCTCCCTCCACTCCTTTCTGAAAATCCTGAAAATCCACAGAAATGACAGTAAAAAGTACACATAAAGGGGAATTAATTCATAAAAGCTCTGAGAACAGAAGGGGAGACAACAGAGGACTAAACTTACGGAGAATTTGAGAGGCTAGAGGGCGAGTGGGGTGGATTGACAGAAAAACAGACTAAAAGAAGCCCCAGCCCAAGGCACACAAGAGAGAACCAGGGAGGGAACCATCAGGGTCAGCAGTTGAGAGCCAGGATGGAAGGAAGTGAAACAATTGAGGGGATCCACAGAAGAAGTACCTGCAGAACTGTGGCACGACCACCCCACACAGCTCTGCCCAGGGTGCCCTCAGAGCGAATCCAAAATAATACCCCACGCACCTGGGAGGATTCCGGGGGGGGAGCTGCATTCCCAGCATGAAGAGCAAATCCCCAGAGTAAATTCTCTCTCATTTTAGCTCCAAGAGGCCTGTTCTATTAGCCTGTTACCAACTAAACACACTTTATGTAACCTCTGCCACTGGACAGGCTCCACATACCCCCCTGAGAGCTGGACAAGCAGCTGTTTATCCAGGAGAGCTGCACAGACCCATCCAAGTGCTAAATCAGCCAAACCCACTCCTTCGTGGACAATCTAGGTTCACCAGCAGCTTAGGTAAATGAGCCTAACCCATGGGAAGGAACACCATAAACCGGGCAGTTGACTTTGGAGGAAATAAATAATTTAAGTCAGTTGACAGGGTTTTTAAAAATCTTAATGAGAGTCTTCCGAAAAAATGGACAAGGTGTGGGTCTATGAATGCAAAAACAGCTTGATATAAAAAAATGGCAAGGGAAGGATAAACAGAAAGTCACAGAAATTAAAAATATAATTACCAAAGTAAAATTCAATAGAAGAGGTGCAGGGAAAAGACAAAGTTGAAGAAGTCTTTCAGAATGCCTAATAAAAAAACAAGAGGAAGAAGGTGAGACGAGAAAGACTCAGAGACATGGAAGATGCATGAAGATGGACCCACGTTTGACTAATAGGAGTCATGAAAAGAGACAAAGAGAAATGGAAAAAGAAAAATCATTAATCAAAGAAATAAGAAGAGATGATTTCCCAGAGATGAAGAAGAACCCCTGTGATGAAAAGCTGCAGTTCCTGACTGCCTCGCCTGTTCCAGCCTGTAATTCAGCTATGATGGCTGGAGCTCCAGGAGCCCTTTTGGTCCATGAATTGACCTTACCAATAACAGAAGCCAGGTGTGGTGGCACACACCTATAGTCCCAGCTACTCAGGAGGCTGAGGCAGGAGGATCACTTGAGTTTGAGACTAGCTTGGGCAACAGAGCAAGGCCCCATCTCTTAAAAAAAAAAAAAAGATAGAAATTTGGATTCTTTGTTGTGCCTTTGAGCTCCATTCTAGTCTTGAAATATCTACCTCCCAACTTCTCTGTAAAAGAAATAAACTTTCATCTTGGGGAGGCCAATGGATTTCTGCAGGTTTTCTGTTATGTGCAATGAACCAGTTTCTAACTCTGTGCTGTCCAATATGGTAGTCATTAGCCACATGCAGTTATTTAAATATAAATTAACTAAAGTTAAATAATTAAAATTCAGGTCCTCAGTCACACTGGCCATATATTAATAGCTTAATTGCCACTTGTAGTTAATGGCTATTATAGTGAGCAAAGCTGAGATAGAACATTTTCATCATCGTGGAAAGTTCTGTTGGGCAGCACTGCCCTAACTGACACAAATCTCTTCTCACAAAGATGCTTGTGTTCTGGCAAAAGACATAAAAACAATCTACTCTCTGGAGTATCCAACAGAATGTGTGCCATTGTGAGGTATAATTAGGGAGGTCAAAAGGGCCTCCTAGAAAAAAGGCATCTGGGATGAACTTGAAGGCTCACATAGGTGTAGAGGGTGTGCTTGGAAGATTATGCAGCTTCAACAAAATCTGGAAGCAAAAAGCACAAGTCATGTTCAGAGTCATTGAATTTTATTAATGTGTAGGATCATGCAGGAAATAATGTCATGTCTTGAAATAACTAATGTCCTATAAACTCACTGATGACAGAAATTCTCTAATGGCCACTGCTTCTGGCCCGACTCTGAGCATATGACAGGTGATATCCCCAAAATAGCTGTTTACTAAGACGCAGACTTTTGCATAGATATAAGGTCAAGTGTGCAATTTTATTTTATTTGTAGGTATTATATCATTTTGATCTGAGAAATGGCCATCCTATAGGCAATAAATATTGTCAAGGAGACTTCACCACAATTCACCAATGAATGTACCTTCTTATTTTGCAGCAGCTGCTAACAAATTGGGAGAAAGACCAAAACCACTCTGGATATCACACATCAGAATGACCGGTTCAAATGGGTGGTCCGCTCCTTTCATTTTATTGACCATTTCCTTGAACACATATTTTTACACCAAACAAATTTCCTACAGAAGCAGATATTTAACATACAGTATCATACAATATTTGACACTTATATGTATTCTTCTGGGGGTAGGCACTTGGTTTTGGGTGCTAACGCTTGGCTCATATACATACAGATATTTACCAAGGAACTACATACATCTATTCCTTCCAAATAAAGACACATCTAAATACTTGGGTTATTTCTGCACTATTTATGAAGATTAAAATGCATTTGAGCATTTTCCTTAAAGACCTTTATATGAAAGGTCAGATTTTGTAGCAAATCATGAAGCAACAGAGCACAGAATTAGCCTAAAGAGAATTGGATTCCCAGATGGGGCCAGGGAACCACAGGGTTGAAGTTTCTATTCTACCCATAGGATTGGAACCCAGTTAGTACTCAGGTTTAGCAGACAGAAAAGTCAATGCACATTTGTTTTGAAACAATAAGAAGCATTCACGGTACACCTTCTCCATGCAGAAAGCTGCTATAGGACATGGGGCCACCAGGATGCGCAGGGCAGAAGAGAGGCCAGCTGTCACGGAATCCAGGCTCCTGAGATACGTCCCATGAGAACAGAGCACCATGGTTCCCATGGTGGTTACACGGGACCGCTTATTGCCAGTTCATGGATATACACATGAATTTTCAGCAACAAGGAACAGGAAACATCTGAAAAGATAGCTGTCCCTTAAAAACTCAGCTGCCAACAGCCTGCTAATTTGACAGTTTTCAAACGATTTGAATGTGTTATGCATGCTCCTGTCCATGCCAGCACCGTTTCTTTCCTGGATTCTGCATTCCTGGGGGGAGGGGTCGAGTGTATAAGTTACTGATATGGCTACACCCAGGCCTCAAGAGGAGGGGTCCTTCTTCTGCACCAACAGCTCACTATTGTGTGACCTAGTGGTCCTCTGCTTTATTTACATTCTTTCCATTGAGTGCAGTCTAGATGTGAATGTCCAAAACAAAGCAGAAAATAGTAATCACATCAAAAGTTATTACAAGAGTGAACTGTGAGAGCTGTAAGGACTCTAGCCCTCAGCTTCAGAGAAGGACCACACACAGACCTCCTGGTGTCCAGGACACTGCTCTCTGACCACTGGCCCCTGTGTCCTTCCTTAGTATTTACCCCATCTAGTCATTTATTTATTTATTATTTTATTGTTACTCTTTTTGAGATGGAGTCTCGCATGGTCACCTGGGCTGGAGTGCAGTAGCACAATCTCAGCTCACTACAACCTCCAGTTCATGCCTCTAATTTCTTTTTTTTCTTTTTTTTTTTTTTTTTTTTTTGAGACGGAGTTTCACTCTTGTTACCCAGGCTGGAGTGCAATGGCACGATCTCGGCTCACCGCAACCTCCGCCTCCTGGGTTCAGGCAATTCTCCTGCCTCAGCCTCCTGAGTAGCTGGGATTACAGGCATGCACCACTATGCCCAGCTAATTTTTTTTGTATTTTTAGTAGAGACGGGGTTTCACCATGTTGACCAGGATGGTCTCGATCTCTTGACCTCGTGATCCACCCGCCTCGGCCTCCCAAAGTGCTGGGATTACAGGCTTGAGCCACCGTGCCCGGCCCCGAGCATTTCTTTAAAATGAAAAGCAAACCCTACAGTGCTTTACAAATTTATAAGAAGCTCTCACAATTTTGCAGTTCTCATGGCCATCGTGTGCAGTCAGTGCAGATGTGGAACCTGAAATGAGATGATTCAGGCCACACAGGAGTGAATGGCAGGGTTAGGACCTGAACTCGGGTTTCTCTGCTTCAGTCCAGGTTGGAGAAGATGGGGCTCCCTGGGGAATAGGCTGGGCCCTGACCTTCATTGGCTACTAAAGAGAGATTGACATGCCAGAGTTGAGACTCCAACGCAGATCCACTGTGAGCCATTCAAAGCAAGTTTGGCTGTGAGCGTGTGCTACAAGCAGCAATGGGCACCTTGAACCCCTGTAATGCCCCCAGACACCCATTTGGAAGCCCGGGGTTGAGCCCAGATAAGACAGTAAGAGTCACAAAGACTTCCACAGCACATAAGGCAAGGTTTGTAGCATGAGGTTTTATGTCTGGGTAAGTGCAAGACCATGATTGACAAAAGTATAGTTAAGAAAATTCCACCTTTGGACAATTATGAACACAAACCACAAATCAAAAGTTTAGGCAAGGACAGCCAAGAAGACATCTCAGAGTAAATGAACAGGATGCTTCCGATGGAAAGAATCAGGCCACTGTGTTCTTCCCTGAAAAGCGTGCATAGCTCAGAGTGCAGCCAGCAGAGTGCGGACCTGCTTCTGCGGAGAAGCAGCAATCCCACCTGGCGTCGATATCACAGCTTTCCTTCCCATCACAATCCTGGTGTTCACTCTGGATGCTGTGCATTCCCCGAGCACATGCCTGCTAGGTGGAGAGTGGGTGGGGCCCCCAGAAATGGGTGGCAGCGGTAGCCACCATAGGATGCAAAAGGACAGTAAGAAATTGCTCTGACTGTTCCCAGAGTGGATAAGCAACCCTTGCATGTCAGACAGTCACTAGGAACTGAACCAAGAGAGCCTCAGGCCCATGTCTGAGCTGGGAAAGAGAGAAAGGGGATGCTAGTGATCTTGCCTACCCCTCGGCTGTCGCTATGTCATAGGTGAGCAAATAAAGGAGAAAAGGGTTACAGAGAGGAGCACTTTGTGCTTAATTCCTTCTGGGGAACCTGTAGGCAATTCTGAAGCCATGGCAACAAATAATCTCCTTAAAGGTCTTCCGCATCTCTCGGCTGCGGAAGGCATATATGAGAGGGTCGATCACGGAATTACACATGATGAGTATGAGGTACATATTGAAGTGAGACATGAAGCAAGAGCAGTAGAGGTTCTGAGGGCAAGAAAGCATTAAAATTAGATGGAGGAAGAATGGGGCCCAGCACCCGATAAACACGCCCAGCAGCATGGTGAGGGTGACCGCACCCTGCATGTTGGTCCTCTGCCGCACAGAGCTGGCCCCTGGCAGAGCCGCGATCTGCTTGACATGGGTCCGTGCCAGGAGGAACATGTGTATGTACAGAGACACCAGGAGGAACAGCATGGTGAAGAACATGGAGATGAGGCACACGATGACATAGGTGGATTCGGAATACACGATGAAGACAATGCCACAGCCCGTGCAGAAAGCCCAGATGCCGGCGATGATGGCACCCGAGCGCCTCGCCGTCATGATGTGGTGGTAGCGCAGCGCATAGAAGATGGTGATGTACCTGTCCACCGCGATGGCCAGCAAGCTGCACATGGACGCCACCACAGAAATGCAGATCATGGAGTCAAACACGTTGTCAATGTGGCGCACAAAGGTGTCTGCTATCACTAGGTGCTTGTTGTTGAGTAGGTAGATGGTGATAGTCTCCCAGGCATTGGACATGCTCACCAGCATGTCAGCCACTGCCAGGCTGCACACAAAGAAGTACATCGGGCAGTGCAGGTTTCTGTTCTTCACTATGGCCCCTATGACCAAGATGTTCTCCAAGAGGCTGATGACACCCAGAGTGAGGAACACCTCCATGGCGATGCCCATGTCTTCACATGGTGAAGACTTGTTCTTGACATTGGGTCCTGAAAGGTTGCCCTCTGTGGCATTCAGGTTGAGATCCGAGAAATGCAGGTGAAATGAGGAATTCATTGCTGGAGAAATACAGCTTTTGTCTTGGCACCAAATTTACTGTAAAACATGTTTTAAATTCACAATCCAGAGAACTTAGCAGCCTACCAAAGAAATACAGCAGTTTGCCCAGACCAGCACAGCCTAAGAAAGGAGATGAATGAGCACAGTGTGTCGGAGGACTGAGCTTGCCTTGCTCAGTGCTCAAGACAGGGTCTCCCTGTGTTGCCAGTCTGGTCTCAAACTCCTGGCCACAAGCCATCCTTCTGTCTCAGCCTCCCGAAGTGCTGGTACTACAGGGGTGAGCCATGTGCCCTGCTGCTGGCTTGTGCCTTCTGACTTGCATTCCTGAGGCCTAGAATAATGCCCCTGGACACGCAGATTAGAATTGTCACCAGTCGATTCTGCTCTCCTTGCTTTCAGCTCCCAGCCTTTCACATGCATCTTGCTAGAGAGACACTCACCTCCACATGCCCAAGACAGTTGCATGTTTTATGCCTGCTCTCCTGGGCCCAAGTTCCCTATCGAAAGTGTCCTCAACTCAGAACCTACGAAATCCCAGCCAGTCTCCCAATGTCCACATTCCTAAAGCTGCTGCACAACATTCTCCTCAAGGGAGCTCCAATTTAAGGCTGCGCAGACCCATAGTCCCTTAAGAGAGACAGACAGGTGCATCCTCAACATTTGTCCTAACACTTCTCAGACCCACTGGGATTCAGCCTCCACAGCTGTAAGTAAGGCTATAACCAAAATGGTCTGTTACCCTGAGCAAAATCACATGTTAAAAGCTACTGTCTTAAGTTTGTAAGTGTAGGCTGCACATACATGTTAAAATTGGGGAAAGCAGTGCTGTTTTTTCCTCAATACCTATTTTTCGCTCACTTCTGCATTATGTGGAATTTCATGAGGTCTGACTGATAGTTTATAAGGTCCATGTAAGCACAGTATAAAGAAACAGCGATTTAAATGTACTAAGCTCTAGAGCAAGACATCACATTCCTTTGTTGCAAAACGTCTCTGTTATGATTCATTTTCAAAAATCCCTTTACCCTCCAAACTCAGATCACATCTGGAGAGAGAATTTCTGTCATCACTCTCATCATTAGTATTGGTAATCATTTTGGGAGGGAAGGAAGAGGTGAAGGACAGCAAATTACTTAATAGGTACAGTGTACACTATCGGGGTGATGGCTACACGAAAAGCCCAGGCACCACCACTATGCAATATATCCATGTCACAAAACAGCACCTGTACACCCTAAACCTAGAAAAATAAAAAAGGAAAAAATCGGAAATCATAAGCAGTTATTGAACTGCAATCATTTGTTATATGCTTATGTCCAGTTCCAGCTCAGAGATATCAGTCAATTACGCAATTATACTAAACATCATACAGAGCTGTGTTAAAAACTCACGGGGCAAGCTACCTGCCGCCCCGCTCTCTTCCACATGCAGCAGAAGTACCATTTTGCATTCTTTCCCAGGATCTCAAGGAGATAGAAAGTTGTGGCTATTTACCGGTGCTCCTCCTCACGGGCCGCAGCGCTCAGCCCGGGCCCCCGGCGTCCCCGGGATCTGACGGCCGCGCGGCGCTCAGGGCCAGCCCCGGACCGGCCTCTCCCCCGGCGAGGAGGCTCCTGCTCCGCCAGGCTTTAAGCTTGCTGCCCGCCCGCGCGGGGCCCGCCTCCGCATCGCCGGCTCTCGCTCCTAGCGGCCTCCGCTGCCACCTAGTGGCCTAGCGCGGCACAGCGCCTAGAGAACCTCGTCAGCCCGGAGCGAAAATCCTCCCTGCACTCCTCCTGATCGGAAGGTAGGTAGGTGAGTAGGTGGGTGGGTGGGTAGGTGGGTAGGTGGTGGGTGGGTAGGTGAGTAGGTGGGTGGGTGAGTAGGTGGGTAGGTGGGTGGGTAGGTGGGTGAGTAGGTGGGTGGGTGGGTAGGTAGGTGAGTAGGTAGGTGAGTAGGTGGGTAGGTGGGTGGGTGGGTGAGTAGGTGGGTAGGTGGGTGGATAGGTAGGTGAGTAGGTGGGTAGGTGGGTGGGTGGGTGGGTAGGTAGGTAGGTAGGGTGGGTGAGTGGTTGCTTGTTTGGTTGGTTGGTTGGTTCAGGGGGTGGGTGGGAATTAGTTGGATAGGAGGGTGGTCGCTTGGTTAGTTAATTGGTTGAGTGGGTGGGAGGGTGGTTGGTCAGGTGAGTGGATGGTTACTTGGTTGCTTGCTTCTTTGCTTGGTTAGTTGGGTGGATGGGTGGGGGTTAGCTGGTTGGGTAGGTGGGTGGTTGCTTGGTTAGTTGATTGGTTAAGTGGGTGGGTGTTTGCTTGGTTGGGTGAGTGGATGGTTATTTGGTTGCTTGGTTGGGTAGGTGGGTGGGGATTGGCTGGATAGGTGTTTGGTTGGTTGGTTCGTTGATTGGTTGGTTGGGTGGGTGGGTGGTTGCTTGGTTGGTAGGTGAGGTGGGGATTGGCTGGATAGGTGTTTGGTTGGTTGGTTCGTTGATTGGTTGGTTGGGTGGGTGGGTGGTTGCTTGGGTGGTAGGTGAGGTGGGTGGGTGGGTGAGGGGTAGTTAGTTGGATAGGTGTGTGGTTGGTTGGTTGGGTCAGCAGGTGGGTGGTTGGGTGGGTGCCTGCTTGGTTGTTTTCTGGCTGGTTGCACTTTTGTTTCTTTTCTCTTCCTCTTGTGCACTGATTAAAATGCTCCCAAGCTCAAACATGGCTCTGTCACCCCGTTTGTCCTTGACGGCAGTCTCTGAGATCTCCTGACGATTGTTCTTTGGGAAGAAGACGCAGTGCCTGGGGGCCCTCACTGCCCAAGGCTCTCACCTCTCCTCCAGGACTGCACCTGCCGTGCCAGGCTCTATCAACCACACAGGCTTTCCTTACTCCAGCAAAAAAGAGAACAAAGAATGTCCTCTCGCCAAATATCCTGGCCTTTTGCAATCGTTTCTGGACCACTCCTTTCTCTAATACCTAAAACTGACCTTTACCCCCAAAGAATCATTATACCCACGATACAGAGAAGCGCCACTGCCTCCTCAAGCCAGGGCAGAATGCACAGGGCCACATCTCCGTGGCAGCAGTGTGAATATGGGGACCACAGTCTGACTGACTTCACACCACTCAAGTCCTGAGCCGCAGGATGGAACTCTAGGAAGAGGTTCTGAATGTTGAGAATACACATTGGGAATGTGGTGTAAGGCATGGAACCTGTTTCTGTGTGTTGAAAGCTTGGGCAGAGCCAAGCATTCCCGTATGTAGTCCTCACATCTAAGATCGGAGAGGGCTCTGCAAAAGATCCTGGCGTCCCAGGAAAGTGCTCAAAATGGAGGTTTCTGTGCAAGATGAGCAGCTGGACCCAAGCATGTGGCCTCCCACACTGGTCAGGGTGACCGGCCTGGGGACCCTATGTGTAGGGGTGACCCTGAATGCTGCACAAGAATTATCTTCCTCAATCTTTTTGTTTGTTTGCTTGTTTGTTTGTTTGAAACGGAGTCTCACCTTGTGGCCAGGCTGGAGTGCAGTGACACAATATCAGCTTATTGTAACCTCTGCCTCCTGGGTTCAAGTGAGGTCCTGCCTCAGCCTCCTGAGGGGTCGGGCACAACTCTGTGTCTGTTGCTCTCGTGGCACCAGCACACTCTTACCAAATGTCATCTCTGTGCTCAGTGCCACCAAGAGTCTGGATGAGGGCACTAGAGCCCTGCGGTAAGGCAAAGTGTCCCCAAGTGAATGCTGAGAAAGCAGGACAATTACAAGCGCTGGGTTGCAACTATTTTTAAACTCCAAGGATTACAAAATACTTCCATATATTAACTTATTTGATCCTTAAAGCAACCCTGGGAGGTATAACATTATTATCATATTCCTAGACACAGACTCTGAGGCTCATGGAGTTTCTAACACTTTTTGGCTGCTCAGTGGTGCCACCTGCTGTTGATCCAACCCCAAGCCCATGTTTATGTAGTTGCACTTGCCCACGTCACACAGGAACATTAGGCAATGCCATCCTAAATATGCACGAGTTTCCCACCTTACTTAGAGAAAAGGGAATGAACATTTGTTGGGAGACTGCAGTGTCCTATACTGTGGTCTGCATGTCCGTATTCTCAGTGAATTCTCCAAGCAGCCCCATAAAGTCGACATTCTTCCCACCATCTTACAGATAGAAAAGCTGAGGCTCCAAGTAATCATGTGACTTCTCAGCGGGTGATCAGAATCCAGGCTTCCAGGAAGTATCTGTGCTTATCACAGTCTAAGGACTCAAGTCCTGTGCCTCGGTCCCATTGCCACAGAGGAGGAAACACGGGTGCCCTGGCATCCCACAGGCAGGCATCGAGAAGCATGGGGAGGGAGTGAAGCAAAGGGAAGAGAGTTGAACAAGCAGAGAGGCCCGTGGGGTGGGGACGGGGTGGGCCAAAGCAGGAGGTGGAAGCTGAGGGCTGAAGGGTGAGATGCTGTCACCAGGTGGCAGGAGGCTGGGGAGCATCTAGTCAGGGCACTAAGGCGGGAGGGGTGGGTGTCTTGGAGGAAGGGAGAGAATGCCAGTGACTGGGGAAAGAGCCAGTGAGGGCATGCAAGGCCTTGCAGGTTCCATGAAAGTTCTGAGGCTAAGAGCAGGGGGAAGCCTTGCCAGGGCTTAAGCAGCAGCACAACACTTTCAGATTTGTAGTGTCAGAGCAGCCCCGCCGTGGCAAGGAGATGGCACTGGAGGAGCTCAGGTGGGAAGAAGGGGGCACATCAGTGGCAGAACCTCACAGCAAGATGAACAGGCCCCAGGGCGGGATCCCTTTCTCCACCTCCTGCCTGGGGATCCTGCCAATTCATGCTCAGGCCCAACTCCTTGCAGTTGCAGCAAAATTACCAAGTAGTGCCCCCTGACTCTGGCGCGTCCACGCTGGAAACAAAACCCAGCCCTGAACATGCAGGCTGCACACACTGTTGGCACAGTGGACCCTCCACACCAACCCTCGATAATCCCTGCTCAAACCAGAAAAGGAGGACATCAAGTGTGGGGTTTGGTGTGGGATTTGGGGCGATTTCCAATTTTCTGTTTTGTTTTTTTTGTCTCTATTTAATGTTTGTTTTGTTTTGACCACTAGAAAGACGTAATCTCTGCAATGTCATGTAGGTCAAGATTCTCAAGGGGAGGGCTATGTCTGAAATCATACACATTTCTCATCTTTGAACAGGACCCAGTAAGCACCTTTTGCACTTAGTATAAGGCTAAGAATGTTAGGTTGAAAACTGAATAGACAGAGTCCTTTCCTTCCAGAAGCACATAACTCCTGATAAGCAACTGAACCCACGGTGCTCCAGCGGAAGCATGTGGGATCACACACTGGGGAGATACTCAGAGATGCCCTAGCCCAGCATCCAGGTGATCACTGGGTGGCAGCCACAGATCTGGAGAGGAAGTCTCTTTTCCAGTATTTAAATCTCGCAGTTCTCGTTGTTACTTTGCCAGTTTTTACTAAGAAGACTCTTCAGGCTTCTGAAAAACTGCTTGGTGTTCCTTCTACCCAAAATTATTTCCATTTCTCCTCTCCTTTGTCCTATAACCTCCTGTTATCCTTTAGACCCAGGCCCACACCGCCTGTTGGGACTCTTCTGTGGACACTCTACACCTGCCTGAGAGGCAGCACCTTCCCTTCCCACCCCAGCTCTGATCTCACTAGACGGTAATTATCTACCTGTCTCAACTCCTGCCCCAAGGCACCGTGAATACTGCTGGGCAGAGGACTCCTGGTGGTGGCTCCAGCGACCACCCAGCACTGGGCTGACCTCTCCCAGCCATGTGGACCTAGTGTGGCCTGCACAGTCCTTTAGCTACAAGGATCCATTCGAGGGTCAGTCCATGACCCAATTCAGGCAAATGAAATTAAAGCAGACTTTTCGGAATTTCCGGGAAGGAAAGTTCTTCTTCTTCAATGGCATCTACCACAGAGGTGCCCTGTCTCCCCCTCTGTGAGTGAGTTAAAACCTGATGGATCCCTAGTGGTTACTGGCTGCCTGCTTTCCACCCCGGGACAGCCAGCCTCGGGTTGTGCCAGTGCCATGCAGGATCAGCCTCGAGGTGGGAGCAGAAGCAGGACCTGTGCCAGCCCTCCACAAGCCTGAGTTTTTCTGGACTCTGCAGTTCCCTGAGTTAATACATTCCCTTTATCATTTAAACAAGTTGGATTTCGTTTTCTTATTCTTGCTGCCAAGAAAATCCTAGTCCTCAAATTCTAGTGCACAGTCACTTTTCTCTGGATTGTCCCATTGTATCACAGCCTAGCAGTACATCACAGCTGCCATCATCTTAACATTTCATAAAAATTATAAATGCACAGTGGCTCACAATAGAGCAATACAAACTGTTTTATGGGGGAAAACATCTCCCTCTCATCAGGAAGACGTCAGGATTACTCTGGCTTATTACTGTGTTTTCAGCCAAACCAGCAAGACCACTGGTCAGTGCAGGTGGATGCCTTCCACGTTCATGAACATCCAGAAAGTCCGTTTCTATGCCTCAGTCAGGGACACTCTCTGCACCATTGACAATTTTCTCTGAGCACTTAACAACCTTAACAGCTTTCAAGTTGAACAGCTCTTGCCTCCTTCCCATTGTACATTGTGACTGTGTATTAAGAATGCCCATTTGAGGCCGGGCGTGGTGGCTCAAGCCTATAATCCCAGCACTTTGGGAGGCCAAGGTGGGCAGATCACCTGAGGTCAGGAGTTTGAGACCATCCTGACCAACATGGAGAAACCCTGTCTTTACTAAAAACACAAAATTAGCCAGGTGTGGCAGCGCATGCCTGTAATCATAGCTACTCAGGAGGCTGAGGCAGTAGAATCACTTGAACCCAGGAGGCGGAGGTTTCAGTGAGCCAAGATCATGCCATTGCACTCCAACCTGGGCAACAAGAACGAAACTCTGTCTCAAAAAAAAAAAAAAGAATGCCCATTTGAATTGCTTATGAACATTCAGATCCACTGTTCTTTCTGTCCCTACACGGTCTTTCCCTAGATCGATCAACACATTCTACTCAGGATATTAGTCTTCCTTGTTACAAAATTCCAGGCTGCAAAAAATAACGTCGGAAGACACTGGGAAAAATACATGTGACATGTACGACTGAGCACCAGTTCTCTCTTTCCAGATGAGAGTAAGCAGTCTCCTCAACTTATTCTCTAGCTTCTAGGGCTCCAAAGCAGCCACCCCAAGCCCAAGCCTGCATGACCTGCCATCTGCAGGAACCACAACCAAACCATTGCTAGTGTAGGGGTCAGCTGTGGCCTCGGCAATACTGCATAATAAACTACCCTAAAGGCTTAAAATGAAAATAACCTATTCTCATGCTCAATTCAACTGCAACTCAGCAAGGCTATGTTGCCTTAGGCTCTAAGACCCCAGACTGAAGGTGGTTTGGGGTCTGCTGAAGACTTGGCCCAGTGGCTAGGAGGTGCAGCTCCCTACCTCACTGGGGCTCAAAGATGAGGGAACAGTGGCGACCTGGGGCAAATTCTCCTGCCAGACCATAAGAGCTAGGCACCATACTTGAGGCCTATGACTGGGACTATTTCATCTACTAAAGCAGGTTGCATGGCCAAGCCCAACCTCTATGGGCAGTGAAGAACTCCAGCTAGAGCGGGGAGGGAGAAATGGAATAAATACTTCCGAAGCAATAATTCAGACCATCACAGCCAGTCTCTGTGTCCAAATGCTCAGCAGCTCATCTGATTGGCCCAGCTCATGAGTCACTGATCAGGCATGGGCCAATCACCTTGGCTAGGCCGAGTGTTCACATAATTCCATGCTCTATCCAAGGACTCACTTCTTCCTTCTTCCTCCAGGCTGGAGGAGCGTGCAGCACCCAGAAAGGGGGACAAGGCATGAGGCCACCACCAGAAAGTGTTCCTTCCTCGCTTTTCATCACTGGCATCTGGACAAGAGAGAAGGGTTTTGACCTTTAAAAGCCACACGCTGAAGTGCCAGTGCATGTGATGAGAGTACATATGACTTTGGCATAACCCATTTATTTCAAGAAGAGTTAAGAGAACAATAACAAAAATTGTAATGTTTAAAACTGTGTTTTATTTCAAAGAAACCATTAATTTGAGGAATAAATATAAAACAAATTAAATGAAATTTCACATCCAATTTTCTTTCTTCTCAGTATGGCTTTTAGGTATGGAGAGGAGGTAAATAATGAGAGAAAAAAATATCAGTCAATCAAGACACATTTTTCAAAAATATCCACAGTGGGTGGTAAAAGTCTTTAATGTAAAGACAATCACAATGAGTGTTTACTCACTGTCTGCTAATAAATGTGAGATATGTGTCAGGGATGGAGAATGTATTTCTTCAGTCTCCACGCAGATAATTGATATTAAGGTTTTACTGTTGCAATTTGCTTTTATTTATATTTTTAGAATCTCTGTATTTGTTAATTTGGAAAGCTTGAGCCATGAGCTTTTTTGTAGGAGAGAATGCAACTGAGGGCAATAGCCCACAGCATTCCAGATCCATTCTGTGGACCACACCTTCTGAGCTAACGTAGGTTAGCTTTTAGATTCCTGCCATGAAGCACCATTTACTAAATACTGTGCTGAAGCTAAATTTGTTTAAGTAGAAATTAAGGACGAATTTTCATGGTCCTTCATTTACTTCTTGAATTTCCTCATTTTCACACATATCAAAGACAAACATAAAATAGATACTGGTCTTGGCTGGGCACAGTGGCTCATGCCTATAATCCCAGCACTTTGGGAGGCCGAGTTGGGTGGATCACCTGAGGTCAGTAGTTCAAGACCAGCCTGGCCAACATGGTGAAAACCCATCTCTACTAAAAACACAAAAATTAGCTGGGTGTGGTAGTGCACACCTGAAGTCTCAGCTACTAGGGAGGCTGAGGCAGGAGAATCGCTTGAACCTGGGAGGCAGAGGTTGCAGTGAGTCAAGGTCATGCCACTGCACTCCAGCCTGGGCAACAGGGTACAACTCCATCTCCGAAAAATGAAAAGATATTGTTTTTTTAAAACACACATAGCCACTGAAATCCACAAATGTGAAGAGGCTCTGCCAGGTACGTAGCTAATCAACATAGCTAATTGTTTTTGCAATGAACATCTTTATGACCATAGCTTTATCCTTCATTTGGACTACTTCCTTAGATAAACTCTCACCAAGGGGTAATAGGGTCTGCTTAAAGTCTAGCAGTATTGTAAATATCAATTGCTTGCCTTAAAAACTAATATTGTTAGTTTTTCATGAATGCTTCTTCACCCTCTCAAGTTTCTAGTTGCATGTGGATGAGTTAGAGGGAATAAAGGAACATTTACTCAAAAATACCTCTATACAAATAAAGCAGTGTCTCATTTAAAACATGCTGAATTCTTGTCTAAATTATTCTACTATCAAAGTCAACATGTTTTATATTAATAAGAGTGAAGTTCAATTTTAAAAACAATAACAGGCTAGGCATGGTGGCTTATACCTGTAATCCCAGCATTTTGCGAGGCTGAAACCAGAGGATCCCTTGAAGCCAGGAGTTCAAGACCAGCCTGGGCAACAAAGCAAGACCCCATCTCTACAAAATTAGAATAAAATAATTAACTGGGTGAGATCACATGCACCTGTAGCCCCAGCTATTCAGGAGGCTGAGGCAGGAGGATTGCATGAGCCCAGGAGTTTGAGGCAGCAGTGAGCTATGGTCACACCATTGCACTCCAGCCTGAGTGACACAGATAGTCCCTGTCTCTGAAAAAAACAAGCTTTTTTTTTAAGATACTCAATAACAGAGTGAATGTAAATCCACTTCCAGAAACTAAGGCAAGCAATTCATATTTACAGTACTGCTAGAGTTTAAGGAGATCCCATTACTCCCCGGTGAGACTTTATCTAAGGAAATAGTACAAATGAAGGATAAAGCTATCATGATGAAGATATTCTTGCAAAATTATTCATAATTTCAAAAAAAGTAATATAGGATAATGATAAATTAAATAATTATGTCTACTGAGAGGACTATTACCCAGTCATTAAAAATTATGAAAACAAGGTCAGACACAGTGGCTTATACCTGTAATCCCAGTACTTTGGGAGGCCAAGGCAGGTGGATCACCTGAGGTCAGGAGTTCAAGACCACCCTGGGCAACATGGTGAAACCTCATCTCTACTGAAAATACAAAAATTAGCCTGGTAGGGTGGCGCGTGCCTGTAATCCAGCTACTCGGGAGGCTGAGGCATGAGAATCGCTTGAACCGGGGAGGTAAAGGTTGCAGTGAGCCAAGAGTATGCCAGTGCACTCCAGCCTGAGTGACAGAGCAAGGCTCCATCTCAAAAAAAGAAAGAAAAGAAAATCATTAATCATAAATGTTTACAATATAATAAGATGCAAATGTACATTATGATTGTAATCATGTTAGACTATTTATGCATTTGGACAAAGACCAGTGGGAAATAAAAATGAAAATGGATTAGAGCATTGGGCTCAAAGATTGTTTTTCCCTGTTTTCCCAAACTTTGAATTTATTAATTTTATGATGCCTGGCCTGGAGCATAATGAAGTTTGACATCAGTCAGTGCCAAGTTCCAAGATGACCCCAGTCCCTTTAAGATTGGACAAGGCATACAGAATGCTTGGTGGTAGACCCAAATGATGGAAAACTGCACATATAGTTTGTAAAATGTTTTAAATATATTTATATGGGCAGGGAATGATATTGGTGGCATATGGCTAAGTGTACAATCCCAATTTTGTTTAGGTGGATATTGATGGAAAACAATAGATAGGACTTTAAGAATCAACACAAACAGAGCAGAGATAACAAAAATTATTACCCCTGGTTAGTGCAACTATTGATGAATTTTATTGTCTTCTGTATACTTTTCTCTAGTTTCCGATTTTCTACAGTAAATATATTTTATATTTGTAATTATAAACTATAAATTTTATTTTTAAAATAAAAAAGCTTCATCTCTCAGCAATGTGTCAGTATGGCTAACCTTGCAAAACTCTTTGGCCCACCACAATGGGCCTGACTCCTAACCTACTAAAATCTGCTAGCTTTTGCTTTGCTCACTAGGTTCTCCTCCAGAAATTCGAGCTCCTACTGACACAATAATTCCCCCTGAAATCTAGCACGGTTTAACTCCAACTTTGTTGCAATAAACACGCATTTGCCTCTGCTTCAACTCTTAGCTTCCTCAATTTCAGCTGGTATCAACTCAAGCAGGAACGTTCCCCCTGGGTTCTTTTTTTGCCTTAATTGATTCTCAGGCAGAGTCAGCCCACTGAGTTGTGACTCATGTGGCTCTCTGCTGCCTCTTCTAATCATAGATGGCATTACCTCAGCTGCCCCTTGAAAGTCTATTGTACAAACGTCCACTATTGAGATGAAACCTTACAACATTAAGATCTGGTAATTAAGGAGGGCAGCTATAGAATTCATATCGTATCTTAACCAAAATAGAGGGAGCTGAACAAAAGCGTGATGCATGTCTGTCAATTTGTGGGTCTCATTAGCCATAATAAAATTATTGCTTATCACAGCTTCACCTAAGACTGGTATATTTGAAAATTAGGGATTACTGATATTGCAATTTTCAGCAGCTCATAATTGTTCTTAGGCTTAAGTTTCACAAATGGATCAGATACTGCAGTGTCTACCTTTGCACAGGAATGTGAGAATTTTCAAAGGCCAGCCAGCCAACAAATTGCCAAGAACAAAGCTCATGTTGACACTTTCCAAATAAACCTCTTGGCTGAACCAAGTGTAGCCATTCACAAAGACCCAAGGAAACATCCTGATATAAGATGATACTTTGTTACACGTCTCAGATATTAAGAAAAGAACAATGCCTGCTACAAACGATGATCAGAGCAGGTGTTCTTGCATTCAGGGCTAGCAGAACAACTAAGTGCACATGCCCTCAGAACAGATCAGCTCAGATCTAACAGTACCTACTCCAACTCCACAGGCTGAATCCTTGAAAGCTGTGTGTCAGGGTGTGAAGAGCACATCCCATGTTAAGTGCAGCCGTGGAGATATTCCTTCTTCATAGGTTTTGTCTTGCCCAGCCTTTTCAGTGATGTTCATAAAAGGCTGTGAGAATGAGATGGAAATCAACTGCACTTACTCTATTAGCTTCAGGATAGGAATCCTCCACAGCAGCATCTCAATCTGCTCTTATGGGGGGTTTTGTGTCCCGGCTACTCAAGAGGCTGAGGCAGGAGAATTGCTTGAACCCAGGAGGTGGAGGTTGCAGTGGGCAGAGATTGCACCATTGCGCTCCATCCATCCTGGGCAACAAGAGCGAAATTCCATCTTTAAATAAAAGTAAAATAAAATAGAGAAAGCCAATCCTGCCCAGTGCTTTTCAAGTGCCCACTCACCCACAAAGGTAGAACAGTATCCATTTCAGGTATCTTGAGGGAGCGGTCATTAAGAATCCCACAAGTCTGCTCCAACATCTTGAATCTCCTGGAGTGGCTGAAGTACAAGACCACTCCAGAGGAAGAGCTGCCAGAGCTCCACTCCACAGGAAGAGCTGTCGAAGTGTGCTGCTTAGCATGGCTCCCGGCACTCCCAGGTCCAATCCCATAGGACAGAACTTGTGCTGCTCATTTTCAGGATAGTCGCTAGCTGCTGCTGCTTCTAACAACAGCTTTCCTTTTCCTTCACCCTGTTAAAGAACTTGGAGAAAGGAACTTTTCTGAGCTAGCACCTTTGTAGCCCAATATTTTCAAGCAAAAGCTAAAAAGATAGTGCAGGCTATGTTTTGTTTTGTTTTGTTTAATATACACTGAATCAGAATTTTGAAACACAATATTGAACAAGGTGCCATATCAAATTTTCCATTCCTGAATACCTCACTCAGTCAGAGCCAGTTTATATGGCACCTAGGTGTGAGTTAGGGAAAGGGGTCCCCCAGGGCAGGCAGTCCCACTGGCGTGTGGTTTGGTGATGAGACCCTGACTCACCTCTTCCTGCAGGAGAGCATGGCTCCCACTCTGCCCAGGCACACAGCTTGGGAGGAAGAGTATCAAGGCTGACTCACGTTTACTCTCTCAACTGTGGCCCTGGCGCAGCATTATACATGCCTTAGCCATTCTCTAAGAAACCTCTTGTTTACAAGAAATTGCCTGAAGTCATATCAAGTTATTGAAGAAAGGATTCCAATGCCAGGAACCAGGAAAAGCCAAACAATTGACCTTAGGTCCCTTTGCAGCTGCTGGTTGAAATGGATGAAAAACCTGTGGTCCAAATAACAGCTGATGAAGGAAGTGGCAATTTTAGTAGGTGGGGAACATGGTACCCAACCTAGTTTCATAGAGTTATTTTTATTCAAGAGACTGGAAATGTTCATTTCCTTTAGAAGAGCTCAGCTGGGATGGTCACTAAGCTTTGTCAATACAAATGGAAACTATTTCTGCAGATCACCCATTAGACATTTTTGGACTGCCTGAATGTCTGAGACAATTATTAACAAATTCTAGACCCTGGTCCAATGGCACCTGCCCTGATCATTAGTCATTAGTGGGTACTACAGAGTTGAACCTAGGTAGGTTGCTGCTACTGCAGTTGAGGTCCAAAGGCCCAGATGGTGCCCAACCTGGGTTACAGACAGTCTGTGTGTCAATGCCTTGCTCATCAAGGATGTCTTTGCACTGTGGATGCACATCCTCTAGAACTAGCAGAAATTTATTTACTTATCTATAGTCAACACCCCTTGAAAGGGGCTCATGAGCCATGAGGGCTTAAGGTGGGCTCTTACCACTGCTGAACTGACCCCTAATATACTTACGTCCACTCATGTATCTTCATAAAAGAGGGTTTTTCTGCTCAACAGAATATGGTTAAGTAAGTGGGGAGGGTGTTCTCTACGGAAAAGGTTGCTGTGATTTGATGTGAGTAGCTTCTCTTCTCTTCCATTACCATAGCTGAGAACTAAAGCAAGTTTTTTTTAGGTGCTAAAGGATGAGGAGGGATATGATAGTTAAAATGTTTTATAAATAGCTTTGTAATATAAACCAAAAGTAAAATTCTAAGCCCCCCAACTGACTGAATGGACTACTGTTTCTGCCCAGGGACTTCCAAAGAAACCTGAAAAACTGGAAAACTGGTTCAGGCCATGCCAGGAAGGTGAGGTTGGATATGCTCATTACACCCTCCC